TAGAGTGAGCAGTAAATAAAGGACAGCTGCATGGTTTTGTAACACAGCTGATACGATGTCCTGAAGGTGGATGTTGCTGTAGGTGTCCTGCACAGTGTGAGGGCTGCTGGAGGAGGAATGGAAACCAAGAAGCTGTTTCCCTTAGGTGACAGAGACCCGAACTGCTTACTGAATGCAACAATTTGATGTAGTTTAAGATATGCAGGGATCTTCAGATGAAATGTCATGGCTTGTCAGTGCGGTCAGATGATTATGTGACATTTTATGTTTCAGTAACTCTCAGTGTACTGTGAAATTGATGGATGTATGTTTGTTTCTTTTTATTCCCTTTACAACAAGGCCTTCTGGTACTGTTAGCTGTCCAATTTGCATGGATGGCTACTCAGAGGTAAGGATCCACATTGTCATTTGTTTTTCTTGTTGTTTTCTTTTCAATGGGAGGGAGAATGGGGAAGAAGGTGAACAGCACAACTCCATTAGGACATGTGGGACGGTACAGACAGCTCGCTTGGAGTGCAGGCGTGGGTTCTAAGGTAAAACTAGGTAGTAGCATGTGCAGGGGAGGAAAAGGTGGTGAGAAGACACTGTGAGTTAGGTTTGTTACTACAGCAGTAATGTACTGATTGTGGGAACCGAAGCGGTGCCAGTAGACCGGCAGAGCTGAATTCCTTGTTTGCCTGCTGTAGGGATCCTGCTTTAGCAGGGGTTGGGTGATCTCTGGAGGTCCCTTCCAAGCCCCACAGCTCTGTGAAACACCTGTTGTGGTTTCTTTCCTTCCAGATCGTGCAAAGTGGACGACTTATTGTGTCAACCAAATGTGGCCATGTCTTCTGTAGTCAGTGTCTCCGTGACTCTCTTAGGAACGCCAACTCCTGCCCGACTTGTAGGAAAAAACTCACTCATAGACAGTACCATCCGATTTATATATGAGTACTTACATTCCTCAGGACAGATTCAACTGGATTTTGGGGAAAAATGTCATGTTTCCAATTCTCTGAAGATTTGAGGAGCAAATCTTGGTTGTGCACACGTCCAAATAAAACTGATTTTTTTGAGAATAACTCGAGGAAATAACTTTCCTTCTACTTTTTTAATGCCTGAATAAGAGGGGTCTGAATATTTTGTTATTTCTTATTCTTGAAATTATTCCCACAGTTCTGTACAGATATGAAATAGTTACCTTTCAAACAGATGAACAATTTGCCATTTCATTACGCTTCTATTTTTATCCTGAAACATGCTCGTTATGTATTGCTTTCTGCTAAATCATCTTTGCCCAGATAGAACAAGTTCTGTAACAGTGGATCATTTCATCATTAACTAAATTGACATCCAGGACAACGCAATAAATTAACCTGCTGTTAACCAGCAATCAGATGGTTGGTTTTCTTTAAGCAGGCAGCTTGAACATGTAGATGTCTTTATGGACTCCATGAGATCTGGAACACATAGCCCAATTTGCAGCATGTACAATGTGAGAATACTGCCAGGAATTCCTGTATTTGAATCACAACACTGAATTTATTTTCTGTTTTCTAATGTGATGAGATGGTCTCTTGGGTTTCCTGCAGTTCTACAGAGCTCTGTCTCCTTATGGCTGAGGAGAAGGTAGTATCCTCTAGGCTTGCTAGTGATGAATGAGAAGCAAACTGTATGCTTTGCTCTTGTAAGCTGAATACCCAACCACCCAGGCAGATCTTTTTAGTGTATCAAGTGTACCCAGTGCAATGCTTCAAATTCAGTCCATTCCCTTCATTGCTCTCTTCAGTTGCTGTACTGACACACCTGACTGGTTTTAGCCTGATGCACAGGATTAAGGTTTGAATAACTGTAATGCTATAAATTGAGAGGGATGAGGAACTTTATTTAATCTCTTTGCTCTAAAGGCTGTGCATCCTTCTTTGTGTGTGTGATGCTGAGAGATGTGAGCTCCCTGTCCTGGGAGAGAGCTCTTCTGTTGGAACAGGGCAGGAATGCACAGCTTTAGGCACTGTTGTCTGGTTACTATTTTATTTTTTTTTCCAGAGCAGAGTTAAAAATATCTACTTTAAACCAGCTGAAATCTGCAGGCTGATGTGAAATTCCAGATGAGCTGATGCAAGTAGGATAATCAAGATAATTAAAACTGGTATTTTATGATATATGCTGTAGCCGCATCTGTGAATACTGAAATTCAGTATATGAAGTAAATCCAGAATGAGACTGTCAGTACCTTTTGGAAAACTGCTGGTAATGAAAAACCTTAGAAGGAGCATTCTGGGCTCTGGGCACAATGTGGCTGTGGGATGCGTTCAGTTAGCAGTGGATCTGATGCTTCTTTGCTGACTTGTCCTAAGGATCAGTAGGAAGCCTTTAATTAAACCAGCTCTTTTAATTAGCCATCTGAAGTTCTCAATTGAAGATTGCATCCAAAGAGCCAAGCTTCTTGTTAGGATGTCGAGGGGCGTTACTGGGTGTAATAAAGCATCCCAAACTGCGTTGGGTAAAGGCCAGCTGCAGAACAGCAATACCTTCCCCAGCATGTTTTGGGGAAGCTTGGGTTTGGCCCTGCTACCAGCAAAATGCAGGTCCTGCACTGTGGCAATACTGTAACTACCAAGAAGTTACACTTCTCTCGTTCCTTTGTGCCTCCATGGCAACATGAACTTGTAAGTGAAGGAATAAAGCAGGCTTAGGGCAGCGCAGCGACTGTGAGGGCTGGAAGTTCTGATCCGAAAAGGGTGGAATGATGAAACAGTCCTAAAGGTGACTTAAAATATGAATGAAGAGAAGAAGCAGCCCAACATTAAACTGTGAAAATATTTAAAGGTCGTGAAGGGGGAAAGAACTTCAGGCCAGTTTTCCCTGGGTGGCTGCTGCATTGGAAGGCTGGTAATGAGAGAGTTTAATGGATTACCTCCGGGTGAGGCTGCGTCACATCCGTGCAGCTTCCATAGTTACTAGCTGTAGCCTGACATGACTTTGCACAACTCCCTCTGTGTAAATACCACTTTATAGCTTGTGCTTCGGTAGCCCTAATTGGAATTTAGATACCCAAACTATAAAATATTTAACAAAAAGGGTTTGTTTTTTTTTAGCTTTTGTGTACCCTGTGAAGTGCCACAAATCTGTACATCTTAAACTTTAAGGTCTCAGTATGTGGACAAATGCTAACTTGCATTTTCCTCTTTTTGTTAAAAAGAAAAAGGAAACCCCGATATATTTGCGTTCCAGTGATGTTTCACATTGGCAAGAGCTGATAGATAATATAAAGACTTTTTCCATTCTGTAAATGTATGTCTCGTTGTATATAGTTCGATTTTTTCCTGTATTTAATTGTATTCATGTCTGTATGTCACATCTGTGTTGGACTCTGCTGGTAAGCAAACAGCTCTTTCAACAGGTGGAAATAAAAAATAATTTGCTCAATTAAGCATTCTTCCTTTGAATTGCTGGTGACACTTCCAAGGATTCCAAAGGACTGCCATGTGCTGGGGCTGCTGCTGGGTGTTGGCAGAGCTCCTGGTGCTGCTTGTGGGTACCATGGCTGTGTGAAACACACCAGGAGGGCGGCAGGGAGCAGCCACTGTCATGTCATTTCTGCTCCAAACAAGCCAGAAAGGTGCCACTGCTATCTAATGCTTTCCTCATGCCCCTGATTTGCCTTCCTTATTCTTTCCAAATGAAGCTCCTGCACTGTAAGGAGGGGGGAAACGACGTTTCTGTCCAGGCTGCCCTGTCGTGTCTGTGCCATTTATAGAGATGTTAGCTAACATCACTTGCCTATACAAATGCACCACATCAGAGGTCTGCTTTAATCTTGTTTATTCCATTGGTCTGGAGGCTGTTGTGTTAGGATGAACCTGATTCTGAATTGTGCTGCTAATAAAACTCCTGAAGTGTGTTTCCTACTGACCTTTGTTGCAGAGACCAATGTTCTAGCAGTTTCCCTAAATTGTTTGTCAATGGGAAAAAGGGTCACAGCTTCTAATTCAGCTGTCAGTATTTCACGCGTGGATCATGCAAACCTTCATGCCTCCTTCCTTGCTGCTATGCAGGCAGATGCATTTTAAAACAGCCTAGGGTAAAGGTTTAGCCACTCATTGAACAAGGCTCTTTAAAAGCTTTGTTTCTAACCTGCCAAATGGCTGTAATGGGTGAGGATGATGCAAGGCTTCCAGCGTTGAAGAAAATGCCTTGTGTGTGCTGCAGTGTGATGGGGGCTCAGGACCAGTGGCTGCAGAGCTCTGATTAGAGAAGTGCTTGCTGAGGGCTGGCTTTGCACCACCTCTGGCTGAAGTACATTTGAGGGGCTTCTGTAAGGGTGAGGGCTCTGCCGGGCGATGCAGCTCACCAGCTTTGCCATCTTTTTGTTTCCCTTCTCCAGCCGCTCACGCTCAGTGCTGCTGCCATGCTCCCAGTGGGGCCTCACTGGCTCTGCTGCTGTTCCATCTCTGTTAGGATGTCTGAGACAGCTCATTTCAAAATGATTTTGAAAGCAGATGTTTCATATCTCTACATTTATGCTCTCCTATAAACTGATTTTATACTAAACGTTATTTCTGCCACCTGGCTGGGTGTCAGACTGCCATGTAACCTTCTTGCTCGTACCTCTGTGCTTCCACATCTGCAGCCACAACCACCCACGGTGTCCTGCACACCCACATCTCTGAGAGAGCCTTTGGGCATTGTGCTGCTGCTGGGTTGCCCCGTTTCACCTCATGTTGATGCTGAGCACCGCAGTTCACCAAACCAGGATGCAGTGCGGGGCACAAGCAGAGGAAACAGTGCTTTAGCTTAGGTCCAAAGCTTAGGATCTAGGCTTAGCATCTAGGCTCAGCTCTTCCTCGCACCTTGCTGGTGCCCTTTCCTCCCAGTAAGCACAAGGCAGTGCGTCCCTTATGTGTGTGCTGTCGTTCCTCTCCGGCCTTTAGCAGCCTTAGGGACACCAAGAGAAGAACAGTGGGGACGGGTGGGGATCCAGTGGTGCATAGGGAGGGGAGCTGTGGGTTCTACTCCAAATGATCTCAGTGTCAACAGAGAGATTAACGGGCAGTGCTTGGACAGTGCTGTCTCACAGATCTCTCCCTAATGGCACCAGGTGGCCAGAAATCTTTTCTTTCTACTGCTATAAAGGAGCTGAAACTCTGCTAGAAGAAAATAATGGGTATTAATTTGGGGAAGAGTGGTGGTTTGGATGGAAATAAAATTGCTGTGCTTGACAACATGCTGGAATAATAAGGTAAAGCAGTGAATTACTTAAAGCATTGCTGAAGGGGAGGGCTGTAAGGTGGGGTGAAGCATGCCATCATCTGTTTAGCAACCGATAATGCAAACTGCAGAAAGAAAGAGAAGAGGAGAGGAAAATAAATTAACTTTTGAAAACGCTGTTGAGGTAATGGGGAGGTAATGGTTTTCCTGACATTTGCTGTAAGAATGTGGTTGTTAATCCCACAGCCCTGGAGGGACGCCAGGTCAGTAGGTGCCACCTGCCAGCTGAGGGGACGGGGTGGGCCAGGGATTGGGAGCTGAAGGCTGAGTTTAGTGAGATGGAGAGCGGCGCTGGATGGACTGCACATCTGGATAGGAAGAGTCCAGCAGTGGCTCCCCCACTTGGTAAATTTTACATGGAAATCCAATCAGTTTCACATTGCTGTACAGCAGACTGATGTATCATTTCAGGTCTGGGTATGATTAATTAAAAAGAAACGTGGCTCCTGAAAGCTGCATTTCATATCTGCCCTCATCTGCCTCACGCCTGTTCCAAGCCCTGTGCATGCTTTGAGAAATTGTAAGTCAATGAAAGTGAGTGTGTTGCAGAATTTCAGTGTGCTGGAGGCAAACTAAAAGGCTGTGATGTTCATGAGCAGATGTAAACATCAAGAGAGATTCATTCTGAAACAGTGTTGGTGTTCCCTGGTGCTCCCTGCGCCAATAGAGCTGATGGACAAGCACATAACCTGCCAGTGTACACCGTGTGCTGCTGGACTGATGCTGTCCCATAGTGCAGATGCATATTGTGCTCTCTGAATGTACTGTGATGCTATCGGAAACTCCAGCCCACACAGCAAAGGCGATACATGCCAATGAGCCAATGACTGCTCTCTGGCTGCCTGTGCTGTATTGCAGCTCATTATTTCCCAGTGTTTGATTGTGAAGTCTAGGAGGCTGGGCAAAACTTCCCTGGGAAGAGGTGACCTAAAAACTGAGTGTGGGGTTGCTGTTATTAATTCTCCTTTACAACGTCTGGCATCAGTTGCTGGAGGCAGGTGGCTCAGGTGGATTCTTACTGGAAATCACCGTCTGCCCTGTGAGACTGGGTGCTTAATGTGATGCTAGCCAGAGATGTGGGCTACATCCAAGTGTGTGCAGGATACACTCATGGTTTCCCCACAGATTGATCAGAAGGAAAACTGCAAGGAGACAAATCTCTTCTGGGGTGAGCTTCTCTTTGTTTTTGTAGGGAACCGACTGAAATGTTCCTATTAAGCAAGCATCCATTGCCTGCAAAACCACAGGGTGTTGTGAAATTGTGAGCTCAAGGACGTCAGTAAGAGGACTCCAGTGTGGCTGAATCAAAATAAATGCGGTTTTCCTATTTTTCAGGCTTTCCTATCTCTGGAGAAGAAATCGCAGAAATATGTTATTCCCAAAGAACTTCTCTGGGATCTGAGTAGGTTGTGGGGCCATGAGGGGCCATGTGCTGCATGGAAAGGAGCACACATCTCCATCCACACTGCATCTTCCTCCCGTAACCTCAGCTTCAGTGGGAGGCACCAACTGCATTTGTATCCATTGCATTAGAGGACAGTGGGAAGGATTAATGAGGATTAAATGATTAATTTTGCTGTTTACAGTGGAGTTGCAGTGCTTATTCCCAGGTGCAAAGGCTCGTGCTGCATTAGAAAACACTCACCATCTCCCAAAATAAATGCCCTAATTTGTCTTTTCTTCTTACCGGTCTTTAAGAAATAATTACAAACAGATCTTTTTTTTTTCTGCTTTTCCCTATTTCCTTGCAAACAATGGCTTGTCCAAGGACATCTCCCGACGACAGCTGCTGCTACCTGCAAGGGAATATGCAGCAGCCTTCACCCCAGGATCACCTTGGAAACGGCGGAGCAGCTTTCTGCGATGTCCAGAGGAGAGCTGGGTGTTGTGCAGGGCAACAAAAAGGGCACTGCTCCAGAGCGCTCTGTCTGCTTGGCCACAGCACCCAGGTGCAGGCATCCTGGCTTGGGCTGATTCCTCACATCCACCCTTGACTCCTCAGCCATGGGTATGGTGGGGTGAGTATTTCCTGCACGTTCTGGGGCTGGGAAGTGGGTTCAAGTCTTGTATTGATACCAAAGATGGAGGTTTCCAAGCTCTCCGCACTGCAGCCCTTGGCATCTCATTTGTTATCACAAGGAGTTTTGGCACTGTGTCACAGAGGGAGCTCATTGCTACTGCAGCCAGGAAACTGGCCTCACCAGCCGGGGGTGAGTGGTGCACAAAATCATAGAATCACAGAGTTGTAGAATGGCTTGGGTTGGAAGGGACTTCAAGGATCATCAAGCTCCAACCCCCCTGATGGCAGGGCCACCAACCTCCATGTCTGATACTAGACCAGGCTGCCCAGGGCCCCATCCAATCTGGCCTTCAACACCTGCAGGTGTTGAACAGGGCATCCACAAGCTCTCTGGGCAGCCCGTTCCAGCGCCTCACCACTCTCTCTGTAAAGAACTTCCCCCTGATATCTAACTTAAATCTTCCCTCCCTCAACTTAAAACCATTTCCCCTTGTCCTGCAGTTATCAACCCTTTCAAAGAGTTGATTCCCCTCCTGTTTTTAGGCTCCCTTCAGGTACTGAAAGGCTGCAATGAGGTCACCCTGCAGCCTTCTTTTCTCCAGACTGAACAAGCCCAGCTCCCTCAGCCTGTCTTTGGATGAGAGCTGCTCCAGCCCCTGATCATCTTTGTGAGTCTCCTCTGGACCCTCTCCAGCAGCCTCCTGTCTTTTTTGTACTGGGGGCCCAGACCTGGCCGCTCGAGATGAGGCCTCACGACGGCAGAGTAGAGAGGGAGGCAGTGTGTATGTTCTGCCTTTTGTGGAGAGGGCTTAGGTATTAATGATGCAGCAGAAGGGAATTATAGATTCCTGGAACAGTTTGAGTTGAATCTTTGAAAGGTCAACTGGTTCAATTCCCCTGCAATGAACAGGGAAACCTACAGCTTCATGAGGTGCTCGGAGCCCCATCCATCATTACCTTCAGTGTCTCCAGGGCAACCGCCTCTCTGGGCAACCTGTGCCAGTACTTCACCACCCTTAGCATAAAAAACTTCTTCCATATATATAATCTAAATTTCCCCTCTTTTAGTTTGAAACAATTTCCCTTTGTCCTATCACAACAGGCCCTGCAAAAGAGCCTGTCCCTTTCTATCTTCTCCCCTCCTTTAGATACTGGAAGGCCCCTGCCCAGCACAGGCATAGCATTTGTCTTGCTAAGAACCAAGGGGATGCTCCTTGTTTTGTCTGTTCACTGGGGAATTATTCAGGAGCTGTGCTACTGATGTGGCCTTGGGAGTGGTGGGAAGGGATTGCATGTGATAACCAGAATGAAGTGAAAAGCATTAATTAGTGTAATTATTCAGTGGAGCAGAACTCTTTTGTCAGAACAAGCTGAGTTCATTGAGAAGATAACCCTGTTTGCATTGTTTTGCTTTTATTTATAGGATGAGAAACAGGCACTGGGCACTGGGAACATCCCTGGTGCTGTGAGGCCAACTTCCCCCACTGCAACATCAATGGGGAAATAAGAGAAAACAGGCATTGGCGTTTCCATAGTGACTCTCAGGTTGGACTTCTGGAAAAGGAAAAGGTTACAGGAGTTTGGATGCATCCAAAGTGTTAATTTTTAAGAAAACAATTTTGTTTGTTTGGTTGGTTGGTTTTGTTTTTTTAAGACTTCTTCACTTGTACAGAGAGGTACGGATGACCTCACATGCGTTGCGTGGAGCATTTGGAGACCACTTCTGTGCTGAACTGTAGGACACAGGACCCACAAAGATGCACTGCCCTTGTACATGGGCCTCATGATGTAAAAGAATGAGTAGGTAAAAAACTTGACATATTTCTTGTCCCCTTTGCCTTTTGCCACTACTTTCCTAACCAGAGTTGTGCTTTCCACTCATGTCCTGTCTTCTGCCTCTTCTTCCTTCCTCAGATTGCTGATCTTCTTCATGAGCAAACACAACCAGTTCCTGCCCAGGCCCATGGCAATATGCTCACATGTCCCCACAAAACCCCCTGTGATCTCAACAGCTGGCAGCTATCTGACACTGGGTCCCCAGCATCACAGACTGCACAGTGCCCTCAGGAATGCCCACCTCATATCTCCTCCGCTTTCCCTCTTCCTTCTACTCTTACCAATAATTATGGCTGAGGGTGTGTCAAAGCCATCATTGTTCCAGGTCTCCAAGGACAACACGAGGGAAATGCTGTGCAAACTCACCAGAGGTAACCAGTCGGAACAGGTACTTATTTCTGCAGTTTAGCAGCAACAGGGAGAGCTCTTGCCAGTTTTACACAGCTGAAAAATGGTTGGCATTCTTAGGAAAGTGGTTTCTTTAAAACCTGGGAGGGGAATAAGATTTGACTTTAGCATTTAAGAACTAGGGTGAAATCAAACGGTGGTGTCTCCCTGAGGTATAGACAGGCAGTGTCCTACTGAGGCCCCATGCCTGGAGGTGCTCAAGGCAGGTCGGACGGCCCCTGGGCAGCCTGATGTGGTGGGAGGCACCCAGCCCATGGCAGGGGTTGGGTCTGGGTGTGCTGTGAGGTCCTTCCAACCCAAACCATTCTGTGATTCTACTGAGTGGGAAGTACTACAGCTCCATTGGCTCACTGAGACAGTCTTTGAATTGCAGCATCTCACCCTGCAACAAGAAGCTGTACAGGAACTGGTAGCATAGCTTTTGTAAGGCTTTAACAGTCAAATTGCTATGGGTTGGTAACTGGTAGAACTCGAGCATTTGTTAAACTGCTATAAGGTAACTGTTCTAGTATTTTACTGCCACTTAAAAAAAAAAAGCTCTTAAGCTGATTGAATAAATACTTGAAGGATGATGCTTCAGCAAACCATTACAAATGCTGTCACAAGGCAGTGGGAATATATCTGTTTGCTGCAGGAATGCTGAGCCATCTTTACTCATGATAACAAAAGAAGCATAAGCTTTTAAAGCGCTGTCAATATTAGATAGCACTTCCTAAGTTGTTTTACAGAGATTTGATTTGTGCTTCATTTATTCTCCACCATAGAATTCCTCTGACTTCTTACATGATGCTACTGCTATGTTTTGCAGGAGAGAACCATCGTTTAGTTCAGCCAAGGCAGCTTTTTGACAGACCAACCTGCTCTGTAGATAATGAGCCTTTCCAGTCGTCCGTGATTTATTGTGAAAACAAAACACTGCATAACATACTGGAGAAGCTCAGAAGGAAGACCTGCAGAGTGTTTGTATTTCCATGGTATAGAAGGGAGCTTGAGGCCAATGAGGTTACATAAATGCTCAGAGTCAGTGGGGAACTGGGCAAAAGAGAAAACCCAGGCCCTGCACACCCCTGTCTAGAGCAGTAGCAGCAAGTGCTGTCAGGTGGATAACCTGGGTTACACTGATTTCTAAAGGATCTTTTCAACAAAAGTCTTCTGTCAGGAAGCAAATGTCAGGCAGCCCCCCCTGCTAGCTTCCTAAGCTTTCACACTGCCAAAGAGGAATTGCTCTCTTTGACAAAGCTTTCAAATCCATTCAGGCTGAATCTGCTTTCCCTTCTGGATTTCAGTTATTAACCATTATTATTTATCTCTGGTGCACCCAACCACCATATGTTCTTAAATAAAGCCACTTTCCACTTCTTCCTTTCGTGCTTTGAGGCAAATAGAATTGCTGGAAATGTAGACACGCAGAAGGCTGCCTCTCCTTTGGCAAGTGCAGGATTTCTAGGTAAATCTTCAGCACAGATTACCTCTCACGCAGCTCTGCTGAAGCGCATGATGTACTGTGGAGTGTCTTTATACACCATTTACTTGCAGGCATGTAATGAAATATCCCTTCTTTGTCCCAGCCTGGTTCCAATTGTGTTACAAAGACATAAAAGAATTCTGATAATACACCCATCTCTTATCTGGCACAACAGCAAGGTCGTATTTTTGATTTTGAATGGGATGACTAAAGACGCTTCATTAGCCAAAAGGCAGAGCTGTTATATGGCCTGGAGAAGCTGAAATGGGATGGAACACTCCTACAGCATGAAATAAGCATTTATAAACCTAACCCAGCAGTCTGCTTCTTCCAGCTTCAGCTGGCAAGAACTGGCTGCCATAATGGGCATGTTTTAAAAGTGGGAAGAAAAAAATCTAATTTTTCAGTTCCTCTTTGCTCAGGTACCAATAAGCCACCCTAGAACAGGCTGCTCTGAGAGGTCGTGGAGTCTCCTTCTCTAGAGATACTCAAATCCCATCTGGATGCTTTCCTTTGTTCCCCACTACCTACAGTGGAGAACCTGCCTTGCACAAGGTTGCACTGCAGGATCTCCAGAGGTCCTGTCCAATTTCTGTGATTCTATGGGGAAAAGTGAGCCTTGGGAACACAATTTCTGACTACTTAATGCTGTGTCACTGTCTCAGTTCTGTTCAAAAGCCTTTGGACACCATTCTGGAGAGAACTGGGACTACATGAGAGGAAGATTGGCACAAAAGGCACAAAACTGCTGCTTTTGTGGCCTAGCTTTCCACTATTTACCAATGAAAAGTGCAGAAATCAATGGAGTGGTGCACCTGAGCACTTGATGTTGAGACTGCATTTATAGGGTCTCTCTCAGTATTCTCAGTAATGTTGAGACCACTGAAGCTCAGCAGCTGCAGCCCCGTGCTAACAGTCTGTGCCCAGTAACAGTGCATGTTAAGAAACCCAGCCCTACTGAAGCTTTTGATACCGCTGTTGCACTTGACAACTCAGACACTGAAGTGGTGCAGGAAATGTCTCTTCCAGGCTCGCTAATGCACAAACTGCCTCCTTGCACTTAGCGAAATGCCTCTTGCAAGCATATACTGTGCAAACACGTCAGTGTTTGTTAACTTGGGGCCTGAGATGTGCAGCAGCCTCAGCCTATTCCGACAGCAAGGAAGATGATGTTCCACCCCCTGCAGGGTCAGCTCTTAGCCTGTAAATCAAGCTATGTTCTCGTTCCTCATCAAGTAAATTTCCTTTCTCTGGCAATTGCATGCCTTGGAGTGGTGCCAGCCTTATCTGAATGTGCCTCATCCCCTGGGAAATTTCCTTGGGTATTTTCTCTCACGGGAATGGGAAAGCTCGGAATGATGATGCACTGTGTTCATACAAACACCATACAACTGTTAACAGCAAACCATGCACCAATCCAGGGAAGAGCCCCACCGTGCAGCAGGTGGGAAATGGTTGGAATAGCAGTAGCTCTGAGAGGGCCTACAGCCAGAGGTTTCTGGTGCTCAGCATCTTGTATCATATCAACTGGTGCAGGTTACCCTGAGAGGTGGTGGATGCGCCATCCCTGGAGACACCCAAGGTCAGGCTGTACAGGGTTCTGAGCACTTGGTGGAGCTGTAGGTGTCCTCCTTCACTGCAGGACTAGATGGCCTTCAGAATCCCTTCCAACTCAAACGACTCTGTGATTGTATGATTCTGTGATTGTATTAGCTGCTCAGTGTTTTGAAGATTAAAAGATACAGTTAGGAAGTTAGGAAGAAACATAGAAATAAGCCAACAATCCAGGGGCAAGCAAATAATCTCATCAAGCCAACAAAATATTTCAGTTGAAGTACAGGCACTCACTGCAGTAAGGATCTCAGTTTGGACTGGAATTTCACAGATGGTTTTTGTATCTTTGGTCTTGCACCACACATGAGCCCCAAATGATCCAGGCTTTGGGGAACCTTGGAGAAGATGTTCCGTATCTCAGCCCTCAATGAAATATGCCACTGTACGAGCAGTGGAATTTTCCCATGGGCTTGGATTCTGCATCTCCACATTTCACTCCCAGTTCTCCCATTCCCCTCTGCCTGGCCAGGAGAGTGGCAGCAACTTCTGTGCTGCATTGAAGTTACACCTGGGCTGGCTGGCCAGCAGTTCTTTCTTCTTTTTACACACAAGAAACTGAAAGCCGCATTCCCCTTTGTGAGGCTGCCCTGAGAATGTGGAAGATAATAGCTGCATATGCCTGTAGGATGATATATCTGGGGAATCTCTATGTCTGTCAAGCAGAAATGAAAGCAATCATTGGGGTAAAATTGTTCTTAGCAGGTCACTGAGACAAGGTGACTGCAAAGGTGTTGGTTTTCTTGGAACGCTACGGTGTTATAGAAGTCAGCTGGACCAGCTTACCTATTTTTTAGTACTTTAACAAGTATATTCTGCATCCAAGACCTTCACTCTGAACACAGGATGTGACTACTGAATAGCATTGGGTTGTTCAAATTACCCTTCTGACAGAAGCAAAAGCAGCAGAACTTTGTTTGGAAGCTTTGCCCTATACTGTCACATAGCCGAGCATCACGGTTTGGTGCTAGATGTCTGCACACTGTCTGGGGTGTGAAGAAGACAGGCTCATGGGCTTTTGCTGGAGCTCTTTTCTATGGCTCCACTCAGACTGGGGATGGAAATAAGGGCTGGCCCACTGTGGCAGAGCTGGGGAAGGAAGAGGCAGAAAACAAGAACCTGAAACAGCCCATGACCATTGGCTTCTGCCAGTCTGAGGTTGGAACATGTTCCAAGTGCATATAGGGTCATGGGTTTCCTGAAGGCAGCAGCAGGTATCGCTCCTGGCATGGCTGTCCCTGCCTGCCTGGCCTCACACCACTGACAGTGCCATTCCCATCGGCCAGGCAATGCCGTGTCCAGCAAAGTCCAAGCTGAAGGAGTTGCTGACGCCTTAACAAGGAGGGTAATTTTCTTCTCAGCTAATCTTTTCCAAAGAATCATAGAATGGCTTAGGTTGGAAGGCACCCCAAGTGTCACCAAGTTCCAACACCTTGCCATAGGCAGGGCCACCAACCTCCAGATCTGGTACTAGACCAGGCTGCCTGGGGCCCCATCCAGGACAATATGTTCTCTGTTACCACCTCTTTTTAAGGCTATGCAGAGAGCTTCTGGAGCTGATTTGGGGATATCCTGATAACAAATGAAATGTTAAGAAGACAGTCAGAAAAACTGGCCTTTCCTTGGAATAATTCCTATGATCACAGCATCCTAAGGCCTAAGTTCTCCACCTGCTTTTGTCCAACCAGGATGGAGAAAGATTATCTCTGAGACTGCTGCTCATTCCCTGCTGTCATGCTGGGAGGACACAGTCCCATCCACTGTTCCCTCTCTTCCATCATCAGAGAAAGGTGGGGAGAGCACAGAAAACCCCTCATTCACACATTCTGGGTCCAACTGCTCTATGAATGACAATTAAAATTCAGGAATTTAATCACTCAGAGGCAGCAACAGTTCAGAGAAGATGCAAAGAGAGACAAGAAAATTCCATCCCTTTTCCCTGCTTGATTTCTCCAGCACAGATTGGAAACTGGGATGATCGATGCACTCTTGAGCTTCCTCATATTATGGAGAGATCTACGACCACAACCACAACTCCACTGTATCACACTGCAGGGATAAGGAAAAATAAATTCTTTGGGACATTCTGAGGTAACAGATGATGGAAGAGCGGTGAGATATTATTTTGTCCCCTGTGGTGATAGATTCAAAAGCCAAAGAAGCAGAAAGATAAACTGTAAGAAAGGTTCACCAGCTGCACTGTTCATTCAGATAATGTTAAAAAGCTCTGGATCAATGAGTGCAAAAGCAGAATGTGCTTCTCTTGGCAAAACTTGCAATGAAATTAGATGACTACTTTATGTGGTAATGGCTGCCAGGAAGGAGGCTCTGATCTTTCAGCTGTCATATTTTTGCTTGAAACTGATGGATGTATTCAACATCATCTAACAGGCAAAAAGAAAAGGCAAAAAAGAAGAGGAGCAGGCAACAGGTGAAACAGTGCTGAACAATTCTGACCCACCAGGGACCAGCACCCAAACCAACCCCAAAGGCTGGCGCTGCTCTTTGGCACTGGCTGCCAGTGCTTCATTTTAAGGATTATTGGCAATCTGCAAACAATGGAGGCAGAAGGCAGAGGAAGTGGGCAGCCTCAAAGATCACAGCTTTCAGAGGCACAGAGAGCCTGGGTACAGGACACAAAGCTGCCAGGACATGGAGGGCTGGAAACCACGAGCGAAGAAACAGCTGCTTGTGTTTTTCCACCACATTTGGGCTCTGTGGATAAAAGAAATCACACACTGGAAATATTCTTTTCACTCCATCAGCTCACCAGCAAAGCTCTGACTGCATAGCTTAACACCTGTGCTGAAAGGTGGAAACTGGATTTTCTTCCAAAACTTCAGCTGGGATAGTAAACTTCATCCCTCATACACATCATTATCAGTGATAAAAGGAAGGTCAGGGAAGGTGTGTGCCCCCTCTGGAAGCAAAATGGAGACGTGGTCATGAGGGATACGGAGAAAGCTGAGGTGTTCAATGATTGGAGCTGCAGGAACGAGTCCAGAGGAGGGCCATAAAGATGATCAGAGGACTGGAGCACCTCCTCTACAAGGACAGGATGAGAGAGTTGGGCTTTTCAGCTTGGAGAAGAGAAGGCTCCAGAGGGACATTACTGCAGCCTTTCAGTACCTGAAGAGTGCCTATGGGAAAGCTGGGTAGAGACTTTTTATAACAGCACATTGCAACAGGACAAGGGGAATTGCTTTAGACTGGAAGATGGCAGATTTAGACTAGATATAGAAATTCTTCACTGTGAGGGTGGTGAGGCTCTGGAACAGATTGTCCAGAGAGGCTGTGGATACTCTCTCCTTGGAGGCATTCAAGGCCAGGCTGGATGGGGCTGTGATCAACCTGGTCTAGTGGTCGGTGTCCCTGCTTACAGCAAGGGGGTTGGAACTAGACGTACTTAAAGGTCCCTTCCAACCCAAATCATCCTACAACTCTATGATTAAAGATTTAGAAGTTGGTTTGTCAAAACTGCTCCACTAAATCCTGAGCTGCTGTGAGTTCTGCTGTGGGGGGTTCTTCCCCAGCTGCTTGCCAGCAATGTGCAGGAACCTCTTTCCTGCATGCAGGTGTATCCCACCTTGTGAGGATAAACCAAATTTCAGAGTCTTAATCAGCTTACTTAGAGCCAGTGTGCAAAATGGTTGTTTTGTAACTCTTCTAAGAGTTTCAATGCAAAAATGTAACCCAGCTTTGCACAGCAGCATTACCTGATATATTCCAGTGGCCAGGTCAATGCCTCAAAAGCCCAGGAGGTGTTTCAAGAAGCCACCCTTCAGAAGAGGCTGGAAGAGCTTATTCTGAGAAAGAAAAAAAGGGAATCAAAGGAATATTGGGGGAGATTGCTGAATGCAGTGTGCCTACATGTTGTATTTGCCTGTGTAGCCTGCTATAAGGAGCTGCTTTGCAGGGGGGTTGGACTACATGATCTCACAGAATCACAGAATCACAGAATCACAGAATTGTAGGGGTTGGAAGGGACCTCCAGAGATCATCGAGTCCAACCCCCCTGGGGTTCTCTAGAGGTCCTTTCCTACCTTTACAATTCTGTGGTTCTGTGCTAAGAAACAGACTTTTGTTCCATTTATTTACTGAAGCATTCTTGAGAAAAACATAGTTTTCTTGATTTGTGTTACTGTATTTGTTGTTATAGCACAGCATAGCACAGAAGTGTTCCAGCATTGGCGCTGTGAATGAGCACCCAGAAATCATACATCTTCATGGCCACATTGGTTACAAAATCCAGGTTCCCCTGAGATATTGTTTTCCATGGCAGATCATCTGAAACAAGTCCCTCTGCAAGACCTCTGTGCTCACAGCTTTACCAAACACATTGTTTAAGGACCAGTGAGAACTGTGCAGATAAAAAAGCCAATAACCATAAAGCTGTAAAGGTCGTAAAGCTAATGAAATAAAGTTTTATTATACAGCAGGTGAGACTGCCTTTATTTTGCTTTAACTTTCTCTGCTTTCCATAAAGTTTATTTCAGCTAAAACATCTGGCTGTGAAACAAATTCCAGAGGAGGTGAGGTAATACTGAACGTGGTCATTTGAAGAACAGCCCGCAGTCCTTTGCTGTACAGGTAGCCCTGCTAGCAGAATGCTCTGCTTGCATCATCCCACCATGCAACCAAATACTCCCTCAATGATAGATCAACAACCTTATCCCAAGAAGGCTTTGGAAAGGAGGCAGTGCCCAGGACCCCATGAAGGCCATCCAGGAATGTGATTCCAATGTTCCCTGCATGCGGAAGGAGCTCGGATGTTACTGCACATGAGAACAGACGCTGATGAGAAGGCACTCAGTTTGCTGTGGTGCTGCATCAGTGCTGGTTTGTAATCATGGTGCTGTTGCTGTGAGACCACAGGCAGAGCTCTTCTATGAGCCCTCAGTGACTCCCAAATGCTTTCTCAGACAGCACTGGGATGTGAGTTCAATGTGTTGGTCATGGAGAGGGGCTCTCACCGTGACGAGGACCTTTGTGAGCACACAGTGTCTGCATGCCGTATCATCCACCAGTTTTTTACTTCTGTGTAAGTACACAGTTGCCTATGCCCATACACGTGCATGTTCATTTCTTTGTCGAAAAGGCTTTTAGGGAACAAAATTGCTATTAAAATGACAGATTGTTGGACAGCAAAGACAAATTAGTGCTAGCTGCAGAATAATTATGTTGACAAATTCCTTGAGTTGTATAACGTTGATTTCAGTGCAAAGCCTCAGGGCCTCTGTGCAAATGTAACCATGTAGGGGAAACTGACAGAAAGCGAGGATCCAAAAGCAATTTTTGGAGATGTAAATAAAAGAGTCATTTGGTGAATGACAGCAGTTACAAAATGGTGGAGAGCAGAAAGATGGCTTTAACTCTTGTCAGGCTTGCCATGCAGGTGAGTTGCTCCTTGGACTTCAGTGTATTACTAACATTAATATTAAGTAGCATTCACTGAATTGGGAATGAAATGCATAATTAAGAACCTCTTGAAATCAAAGAAACCATAAATTGTAACCTCCCTGACACAGAGACTGCTTTTTCAAGAACAGTAATAGCTAACAGATCACTTATTTTTTAATTACAGTTGCAACAACTGTTCAGTATTGCATTAGTTTCAGCTGGGATGGAATTGTTTTCTTCAGAATGTCTGGTATGATGCTCCATTTTGGTTTCAGGAGAAAAAGTATGCTGATAATGCACCACTGTTTATAATTACTGCTAAGCAGTGTTGTATACAGCTAAGGCCATCCACAGCAAAGGGCCCAAGAAGCTGAGGGGGACAAAATTAGGACAGCTGACTTAAATTGGCCAAAGGGATATTCCATACCATATGGCATCACATGGAAGGAGTGTTGAAGGGGGCGGAGTTCATCTCGCTCTCTTTCAGTGTTTGGGGGCCCATCTGGGCATTGGTCAGGAGATGGAGAGCAATTGCTTGTGCATCACTTGTTATAAATACTCATATATACATATGCATATATATTTGTCATAATTATTATCATTTTCTCTATCTTAGTAAATGATTTTATCTAAACCCACAATTCTACTATTTTTCCCCAGTTCTCTCCTCCATCCCACTGCAAGTTGAGGAGTGAGCAAATGACTGTGTGTTGCTTAGCCACCTGCCAGGTTAAACTCCAAAAGTAATACAGATACCTTAGATCTTAGATGGGTATGCAAAAGAAGAGCAGCACAAATATTGCAGTAAAGGGTAAAACCACATTGAGTTTTCCCAGACATTGTGAAGGCAGAACTTAAAGGTAACTGTGACCGGTAATCCTCACAGATTTTTGTTGACTTTATGCCTTGCAGATAAAACTGCAAAACTACTGAAATACAGCTGGTTCAAAGGAAGTCATGTGAGTGCACTGCAGCACTCTGTACTGTTTATGTAGTGAATTTTCATAAATGTTGTTCCTGGAAAATTTGAAAAATTGTAGTAGTACAAATAATTTTTCTTCCTAAAGAACACTGAAGTGTGATGCCATGCTTTAAATTAACAATGAGGTAAATTAATGTTAGTTTTCTCAAAAGACTGGCTGTATTTTCTTAGGAATGAGGTTGAGCATTTTAAATAATTTAATTCAAGTAAAGGCAAGAAATTTGTTTATATGTCCTCACAGCAGTCAAATTAATTTCCTCTCTCTTTTGCTCCAGTTCATAAAATCTTTAGATCCACCACCAAGCTGGCAAGTTCATTTTTAAAACAACCTACTGGCTCAGTCTAATTGCAAGTTAAAAATAAGGTGCGGTAGCTGAGTGCTGTTCAAAACCATAAAGGTACTTCATTTTCCTGTATTTATTTGCAGATTGAAAAGAGACCTTGACCTCAACAGTTTATAAAAACTTTGTGTCTTACACTGCCAATTGTCTTTAACACTGAAAACTGACTTTAAAAAGTGGTATGGATGATCCTTGTTTTCTGAATAGTGAAAGGAAAATGTACATGTTTCTGTGATGAGAGTACTGGAATTAAATGTTGTGGTGACAGACTGAGCTGACTTAGCTGCTGCGCAGTTGAGCGATTTAACAATAATAGTTTCTCATAACAATGCTTTTTATCTGTAACATAGGGGATAGAGACACTGACAGCTGAGACCATGTGAAAATATAATTCTAAAAGGAAGAAAAAGCTGGCTGTGTATAGGTCTGAAATAAGACATGTCAACATTTCAAACCAAAGACATGCACCCTAAGAATAATTCTGTGTATTGAGATGTTAAGAAATCAAATTTGAGTTCATACTACAGGGCCTAGAATTTATTTATTCATTGCAAAGGCTGCAAACAACTGTGCGAGCATTGCATGACCCTATGGTTGGTCATCCTGTAATTTGCTGCTCATACAGCACTGTGTGTTTATGAATCATAGAATCACAGAATGGCCTGGGTTGAAAAGGACCACAATGATTACAGAATCACAGAATTGTAGGGGTTGGAAGGGACCTCCAGAGATCATCGAGTCCAACCCCCCTGCCAAAGCAGGTTCCCTACAGCAGGTCACACAAGTAGGCAACCAGGCAGGTCTTGAACATCTCCAGAGAAGGAGACTCCACCACCTCCCTGGGCAGCCTGTTCCAGTTTCAACCCCCCTGCTATGTGCAGGGTCACCAACCACCAGACCAGGCTGCCCAGAGCCACATCCAGCCTGGCCTTGAATGCCTTCAGGTTCGGGGCATCCACAGCCTCCTTGGGTAATCTGTTCCAGTGCATCACCACCCTCTATGTGAAGAACTTCCTCCTAATATCTAACCTAAACCTCCCCTGTCTCAGTTTAAGACCATTCCCTCTTGTCCTATCACTATCAACCCTCGTAAACAGCCGTTCCCTTTCCTGTTTATATGCTCCCTTCAAGGATATTTGGAGGAGTCCTGCTCCTCCAAAACTTGCCATTTACCAGACCACACCAGGAACAAACATGTTCTCCTGGTTTTGCTGATGCTTGTGTATACCTGCAAAGCTCCTTCATGTGCATCAGGGCAAACAGCCTGGAACAGCTTCAGCACAGATGGAAGCTATCTCTGGAGCTGCCAGTGTCTCAGCAGAACATGTTGGAATCAGAGCTTTCT